TGTAGGCCCTGAAATGAACGGCTATGTGCTCCAAGTTGGTGGCTTTGTAGAAAAAGGAGCAGGTGAGAGATCTGATGTTAGTCAATGTTTGTGTGCAAATAAGTGTGTATGAGTTTTTATTTCAAATATGTATACAATGTGTGTAGTAAAAAAATGCTTCTGATTGCAGGTGATGCGCTGAGTTATCACAGTGGACAGACATTCTCCACTTTTGATAATGAACAGAATCCTTATGGCTGTGCTAAATCATACCTCGGGGGGTTTTGGTACTATGCTTGCCACTATGCAAACCCAAATGGTTTATATCTGGGGAGACAGGACGGCACGTATTACGCCATTGGTAATGTGTGGTATCAGTGGAGAGGCTATTATTATGGCCTTAAGTCCATCACTATGAAAATCAGGCCTGTGTCTTAAACTTGCAATGCAAAAGCCAGGATATTTCCACCCTGGAAATAGAACAACACTGTTAGCTGTGATTTTCTAGGTTACCAGAGTGATTCTGTTAGTTAGGACCAATTATGTAATTCTCTCCTCTATATAGGTAAACCACGTATGTCTTTAATCAAGTGCATTCTAAAAAATAAATAATAAATCCCTACTTTTATGTTTTTCTTTGTTCAAGTCCAGAAAATAAAATGTGTTTTGGGTATTATATTACTTTCTTAACCATGTAATTAGTAATGAATTCTGTGGTGGATTTTAAATTTCAGTTTTAGTTTAAATATGGTAGTTGTTTTTTATTTGTGTATATTTTAGCAAGCCTTCTACTGAGCCTTCTTCAGCCTTCTTCTGTTCTGATCAGCAAAAGGATGGAGTTGAATGGAGTATATGTATGCCTCAGGCTGCGAGAGTGTTTTTGTCAAACATCATGAATTTTAAGAGCAGCTGTTATTAACCTGCTAATGATGTACAAGTAAAAGGCTGCTGTTTGCAGCCTCATCTGTCCAAAGCACATTATTCCAGAAGTCTTGGCCTTTTTCTATGTGTTCTTTGGCAAACTTCAGTCTTGCCTTCATGTTTTTCTTACACAGCAAAGGTTTCCTGCTTGCACACCTCCCATGATAATTAAAGTTGTGCAGTCTCTTTCTGATTGTAGATTCATGCACTTTGACATCAGCTGTAGCAAGAGCTTGCTGTAGGTCCCGTGATGATATTTTAGGGTTTTTGGAGACTTCTTTAAGCATTTTGCGGTCTGCTCTTGGGGTGAATTTGCTTAGATGGCCTGACCTGGCCATGTTGTAAGTTGTTTTAAATGTTCTCCACTTGTAAATGATTTTCTGGACAGAGGAATGGCTGATGGCTGATGGCTGAAATTCTTCTGAGTTCTTTTTATATCCCTTACCAGACTCTTTGGATCTCACCATGGTGATACCTCCCACTTCAACAATTAAGAGCAAACCAAACTAAATGTCTGAGGTCTAAATAAGGCAATCCTCCTTCAAAATGCTCTGTAACGATGTTCTAATAATTTGCACCTGTGATACACCTGTAGGTAATTTTAGCCATTTTAAGTACAAATAAATGTAGGTGTGTCCTTACTTTTTCCTCACAAGAAATTGGATTTTTTTTTAAATTACATTTTACAGATCATTTTTAAAAAACTTTTCTTTGATTTTATTTGTTTAGTCATATTACTTGAATCTCCTAATATTGTTAAAATGAAGATGTTAAAATGTCCATATTTTTAACTATGTTAAAAAAAACACAGGCTTTCATGGGGTGTCCTAATTTTTTCACATGACTGTATGTATATATATATATATATATTTTTATACAGTGTCAGGTTGTGGACTGTATTCTGCCTTTTGGCCACCAGATGGCGACTCTGAGGACTTTCTATTAGGCCTATCACCTAGTTAATGTGTCTCACCTGTTTCTTGTTTAGCCTGTGTATTTAAGTTGCCCTTCCTGTGTTAGTCTTTGCTCAGTCTTTGCCTTGGTCCTTGCTGTATGTAAGTCTCTGCCTTGCTTTCTTGGATTACTGTGCCTTCTGTGAATTATTGAAATTTTTGTGAGTTTTGGTATGTTTTGAAAGTTGTGACTAAGAATTTTTGCCTTGGAATTTTTTTGGTTCTTATTGCTTTGATTCACTGCCATTGATAAAATGAAGAGCCTTGCTGAGAAACTTTGAAACTTTTTGTGAACTCCTTCAATTAAATTACTTAACCGTACTCCAGTGCCGGCCTCTGCTTTTGGGTCCTCATCCTGTGTGTAGCTCAACCAGTAGAGTATTGGACTTAGAATCCAGAGACCTTGGTTCAATACCTGCTCTGAATGTGATAGAAAGACTGAGCTAAAGACATGGACCCAGCAGAGGAGAGAGACTCATCAGACATCCAAGACCTGCAAAATGTAGTAGCTGCTGTAGGCAGTCATGAGGACAGACTAACATGTCAAGAGGCTTTGCTTGTCAGACATGACCAGACTTTGGGTGAGATTCTCTCTTCATGAGTCCAAGCAGCTATGATCCCTCTTCCTGTCTCTTGCACTTGACCAGCTTCAGTTCTTCCTCTACCTCATGTTCCTGCCCCTGTGACAGTGTTCAGCCCCCCTCCTTCCCCACCAATCACTCTTCTCACTGGTAAGGCATGGGCTTGGGCCACTGCTGTATGGGAGAAGGAAGATTACATAATCTTAAGGCTCTTGTGGATTCTGGAGCTGCAGGCAACTTTATGGACATTTCTTTAGCTAACACCCTTCAAGTTCCTTGCTCCCCTCTGTCTTCCACCTTGTCTGTAACTGCCCTTGATGGCCGGCCCCTGGGTAAGGGAAGGGTCTGCCAGAGCACTTCTCCATGGCATATGTCTGTTCAGCAACATCATGAGAAGATCCAATTCTACCTCATCTGGTGCCCTGTGTCCTTGGTTACCCCTGGTTAACTCATCATAATCCTCATATAGACTGGTCTACCACTACTGTTCTAGAGTGGGGCCCTACATGTTCAGCTACCTGTCACTTTCCAAGTATCCCTCTCGTTCCCAAGCCTCCTGAGTCTCCAGAGTCCCTAGATTTATCTTGAGTCCCTTCCAAGTACATTGACCTTAAGGGGACGTATTTTCTCTCTGTCTGCTCCTGAGCATGCTGCCATGGATGAATATAGTCATTCGCCCCTCAACATCTCCTGCAGGGGCTGGATTCTTTTTTGTGGGCAAGAAGGATGGAGGCCTTTGTCCATGTATTGACTATACATGTACCTGACTTATGAGTACCAGGTTATGCCTTTTGGACTCACTAATGCCCCAACAGTCTTCCAGGCTCTAATTAATGATGTTCTCTGGGATTTTTTGGACAAATTTGCTTTTGTATACTTGGATGACATTCTAATCTTCTACCGATCTCTCCATGAGCATGTGTCCCATGTCCGCCAGGTTCTCGAGCAACTCCTAAGCAATCATCTTTATGTAAAACCAGAAAAATGCCACTTTCATTCCTCTGAGGTTAGTTTCCTTGGTTTTGTCATGAAACAGGGGAGTATCCAGATGGACCCTAAGAAGACCACAGCAGTTCGGGACTGGCCAGAACCCAGGTCCATCAAAGAGGTTCAGTGTTTTTTGGGGTTTGCAAACTTTTTCAGGAAGTTTATTCGCAACTTCAGCTCTGTGGTCGCTCCCCTCTCTTCACTCACCAAGGGAAAAAATAATCAGTTTGTCTGGACTAAAGAAGCAGCCAGCGCTTTTCAAGAACTTAAGTGCAGGTTCACCTCTGCTCCTGTCCTGACTCAGCCTGATTCTAATCAAGCTTTCATTGTGGAGGTTGATGCCTCAGATCTGGGTGTAGGGGCAGTCCTGTCACAAAGAGGGACCGATAATAGGATTCATCCTTGTGCCTTTTTTTCCACACTGATTGTCACCCTCTGAACAAAACTATGATGTGGGAGACAGGGATCTGCTCACCGTGAAACTCGCTCTGGAGGAATGGAGGCACTGGTTGGAGAGAGCTCAACATCCTTTCGTGGTATGGACGGACCATAAAAACCTCCAATATCTCCAGCAGTCCAAACGCCTTAACCCATGCCAGGCCCATTGGGCTCTGTTCGTTAATAGATTCCAGTTTACCCTCTCCTACCGTCCAGGCTCTAAGAACCAGAAATCAGATGCCCTGTCCTACGTTTTTCTCCAAGAAGACCCTGGAACAGTTAAAAGGCCTATTCTGCCCAGCTCTAAGATTGTGGCACCTGTTCGGTGGGGAATAGAGACTGTAGTGAGACAGGCTCTGTGGGGTGAGTCCAGTCCTGTGGGGGTTCCTGCTGGCTAAGTCTGTCCACTCTCAGGTTTTCCAGTGGGGTCATTCCTCCCAGCTCACCTGCCATGCTGGTGCGAATCGGACCCTGGAATTCCTGCAGAGATGCTTCTGGTGGCCTATCATCAGGGAGGATGTCAGGGCATTTGTCTCAGCTTGCCAGACCTGTTCTCAAAATAAGGATTCACACCTCTGTCCTCAAGGGTTGCTGCATCCTCAGCCCATTCCCTCCATAAACTCCACACTGCATGAGAAACTGCTGAACTAATATGCACACATGTTTTTCAAGCCTATGGTCTACCACAGTATAGTGTATTGGACCAGGGCCCTCAGTTCACATCACGCTTCCGGCGGGTGTTCTGCAAGTCGATTGGGGCCACAGCCAGCCTGTCCTCTGAGTTCCACCCCCAATCTAATTGTCAGACGGAACGGATCAACCAGGTCCTGGAGACGATGCTGAGGTGCCTGGTGGCTTCTAATCCATCCTCCTGTTCTTCTCATCTGCCCTGGGCTGAGTATGCTCAAAACACTCTGCGCTCCGTGTCCACAGGCCTGTCCCCTTTTGAGTGCCAGTTTGGTTACCAGCCACCCCTGTTCCCTGAACAAGAAACCGACACGAGGGTTCCATCTGCCCAGCAGTTCATCCAGCGGTGTTGCCGGGTCTGGAAAAGAGCTTGGCACAATCTACAACAGGCCTCTCGGCAGCAGCAAACTCAGGCTAACCATAGGTGCAGGCCTGCAACCACCCTTCATCCAGGACAGAGAGTATGGCTTTCTGCCAAGGATTTGCCTCTAAGGGTGGAGTCTCGCAAGCTGGCTCCTCACTTTGTGGGTCCCTTCAAGGTAGTTTGAAGGATTAATCCAGTGACTTACCAGCTTAATTTGCCTGCCTCCATGAAGATCAACCTGACATTTCACGTGTCCCTGTTGAGGCCAGTGGTCTCCTGCCCTCTAGTCCCTGTCCCTAAACCACCACCACCACCCCGTATGATTGAGGGTCAGCCTGCATTTACTGTTTGCCACATCGTAGACTCCTGCAGAGTCCAGGGCAGTTCACTACAGTACCTTGTTGACTAGGAGGGTTATGGCCCAGAGGAGCACTCCTGGAGGGTGTTGGACTTAGAATCCGGTGACCTGGGTTCGATACCTGCTCTAAACATTGTGTATATATACATTTACAAATTTCCAGCATACAATTCTTCATCTTGGAGCACTACTATGTAAATGTAAACACAATATCCAGGACAAATTACTTATAACCCTGTCTTGCATAGTCTAATCATAACATACAACAGCACACAACAAATATATAAAGTCCTGAGGAGGTCAGTGGAATTATTAAAAAAAATTACAGTTAAACGAAACCCTGGCTAAAGAACCATCTCAAAATTAAAGTGAGCACCTATAATCTTGGACTAAACACACTGTAGCAACGCGGGATCACGGATGGGCTGAACACAGACACCCAGACACTTAAATGTGAATAAAAAGTGACCAAGATGTATTCGTGGCCCCGGGGAGACTTCGGCAACAGCCCGATGAGATCCATGCCTACTCGCTCAAAGGGGGTGCCAATAATGGGGAGAGGAATCAGCGGCATGGGAGCAGGCTTGAATGGGGTAGTTCTCTGGCACTGGGGGCATTTCTCGCAGAAAGTGCGGACCTCCGCATCTGTTCCTGGCCAGCTTTTCCAGGGTGTTGTGTGGGCCCAGGTGTCCCCCCAGTGGGTGTGAGTGAGCCAGGTGCAGGAGGCCCTGGGTACGGCTGCAGGGGACCATGAGCAGTTCGCAGGGCTGGCCTATTCACTCCGTCTTGTAGTAGAGGAGGCACCACGTACCAGGAAGTAGGAGGCTGGAAGATGCTGCTTGGGGTGCTGGTGGACACCTTCAATCACCTGCACCTGGCTCCAGCAGTTCTTCAGCCTGGCATCTTCCTTCTGCTCCCGGCCGAAGTTTCCCTCCTGGGCAACCTGGGAAAACACAGAGGACACTGGGTTAGTGGGGATGGGGCCTCACCTGCTGAGGTCTTGGGCCAGGTAGGCCGGCCGGACTCACGACCACTTCTCCCTGGGCTTTCTCTTCTTTGGAGCCTTGGCAGTGGTGAACCCGGGCCACTCTCGCCCTAGTAGCAGAGGCACGGGGAGTTCGGGGATTAGGCCCACCAGGAGGGGCCACTCCTTCTCCTGGTGCTTGACTCGAACCTGGGCCGCTGGAACTTCCCTGACATCCCTGTGGACACAGGTGACCATGAGGGAAACTTGGGCTTTAGGGGAAGGCAGTAGGGATGGATGTGCCAGGGTGACAGTGCTTCTGGAGTCCAACAGGGCTGAGAATGGTTGGCCGTTGGCTTGTACGGAGATGATGGAGATGATATCATCGGCGGTGGAGATGATATCATCGGTGGTAAGCTTTATGAGGAGGCGTAGGGCTTCACGGCAGGGGTCGGGGAGGGGGACGGCCGTGGCGCTAGCTCCTTTGCGGAGCTCCAGGAGCTCTTGGGTGGCCACTTGGAGACCACGGGCTAGGTGCTGGGTGAGGGCCTGCTGCTGCAGGCTCACTTGGAGGAACTGTTGCATTAGGGCATCCATCTTCACGCTGGGTGCTGTGTTCACACCCACATTCTCCACCACTGTAGCAACGCGGGATCGCGGATGGGCTGAACACAGACACCCAGAAACTTAAATGTGAATAAAAAGTGTTTATTTTATTGAAGAGAACCTTGCAGGGGAAGTGTGGGGGTGAAGGTGAGCATGGCTTGTGCTGTGCAGCGAGGTCAGTTATGTCTCGAGGACGTGTGCGGCAAACTAACAGCAGCGGCGCTTCTGGGAGACGGCGGAGAAGGCGCGGCAGATGCTCTCAGCTTTGGCCGAGATTGGCGAGCTTGGGCGGCGGTTACTCATCTGCGCTGATAACTCCGTCTGGAGGGGAGAAGAGAGCACACATTAGTTTCATTATCAAGTGCACCTACCTTAACCTTTTGAGAGCGGCTGCTGGCTCCTTTTGTATCTCCCTGTTGCCTCCGTGAGGGTGAATTAGCGC